TACTGTGCTCTTAAACCCCCCCCCCCCCAATGAGCTAAAGGTCCAAATTTGTAACACGAGTAAGTGGATTATACAGCTTATAAATAAATATTTCAAACGTATAACAAATTCTTAATGTATACGTTTCTCTTTTCACTAGATTGCTGATGCCTCAGATGAAGATGAAGAAAGCACAGCTCTCATGATAAAGCCTGGATCTGGGAGCTCAGCAAATGAAGAGAAAGAAAATGAAGCTGTCTTTAAAAAGGTTCATTTTAAGCCATTGTAACACATTTTAACTATTCGAAAGCATTACTGCAGCTTTCAATGGTAATATGCACATAAATTATTAGGGAATTGTGGAGTTGTTGTGTAACTACACACTGCCAAGCCACTACCTCCAAACTCCATGTTAAATAGATACTTTTGACCTTGTAATATCAACTGTTCACCATGAATTACGTTTTTGTTGATTAAATTGTTGCCTGTATGGTTTGGGATTTGAAAGTTTCCGGAGTCAAACTTATTATTGTCACAATTACACCCTATTTTTTTTATGCAGGTTCAGGAGATTCAAGAGGGACTTGAAACTATTAAAAGGAAGGTGTCTGAACTGGAGAACAAACAGAAAACTGTGTTAGGAGTTGCACTTCCAGAAGAAAGTGAGTAGCTCAGCTTAGGTTTGGGTATTTTTATATTTCAACACATTTCCCTGAAATATAAAAAAAAAATTTTTTGTTCAGTTTAGGTTTTATCATCCAAAAAAATGTTTAAATAAATAAATGTAAAAAAAAAAATCTCCTTGGCAATAGGTATGAAAAAGGAACTGCAGTCCCTCAGAGAAGACATCAAAGTCATGGCCAGCCAGATCCAAAAGAAGTTAAAAAGTAAGACTGATAAATAAAAACAGGTGGTTGTTATCAAACTTGTTCTGCTGGACCTACTGGATGTGTAGTATTAAACGATACGTTTACGTCACAGGCATTGAACCTAAGAAAGCTGAAGGTGAAGAGAAATATATTTCAATAAATGTTAGAATGCGGAGAATTCAGGTGAGTTGCTTTTTAATACATATATTATAAATATTTTGTTTGTAAATATCATGCATGAACAGTGTTGTTTTGGCTCAGAATAATCTGTTCCTCCCTTTTTTTCCTCAATATCCTTTAAAAGCATGGTGTTTTGTCCCGTGAATTTCTGGAAGTGATGGGTCACTGTAATACAATTCAAGCCCAATACAGAGACAGAAATGTGGAGAGGATACACAGACAACTCAAAATCAGTATGTGCTTTTTCTGTCTTGTTTTTTTTTTTCTATTGATAATACTATGGTTCTCATACAGGTCTTTCACAATAGACTTTTTAATTGTGCACCGAGTCATGTTTTTCTTCATTTAAGAGTTTCCTTTAGTATGATCCAAGACTACTGCAGTATCAGCCAGTGCAACATAGCTTTCACTTGCATTGTTCCTACAAGTCAAAATAAAATAAAATGGAATAGAACTAAATAAACTAGCGTGAACGTGGTTTCCTTTACAGCTGGTAACAATGTGACAGATGAGGAGCTGGAATCAATGCTTGAGAGTGGACAAACAGATGTTTTCACGCAAAATGTGAGTGTGGTGTTTTGTGTAGTGTGCGTGCATTGATTTGAATGCATAAGTGTAAGTCTAGCATTCTGCCTAATAGATATTCATTGCTTTTCCTTCTACAATTACCCGAAGAAAACAGTCCACAACAGAGTGATATTGTTTATTATAGTCTTCTGATTCCTTAATGTCACATTTCAAGTCTTCTCTTTTGCTTTCTTTGGAATGGATGCGTTTCATTTGGTGAGATCCTTTTAGGAACCGTTCCATCTAAAATGTAATTGTTATTTCTTGTTTTTGATGACGTTGATTAACCTATCTGGGCATTTAGTGATATAATCATTTATAATAAATAGGGGCATTTTCCTGTTTCCTGGTCCTTCACTTTCTGAGTTTCTTGTGAAGCAGTAGAAACTCCAAATAGTAGTCAAAGTAAGACCTACATTTGGAACTAAGAATGCTGGGGGCACCTTTGGACATAAAGTATCTTCGAGTGTTGATGCCTTTTTTATTCCAGATAAAGTAAATCTGGGTTGTCAACATCATATAAAAGCAATGCTAGAAGCAAATGCCTCATATTTTCAGTACCTCCTTTATAGATTTCCACTTCCCTTTTAGAGTTTTGATTACGGTCATTCTTGCCCTTCACCTTATATATATATATTCAGTTTTTTTTATTTTTATAAAACCCTTCCAACCCCCTTTGCCTGCAATAAAGCATCACCACCATGATGCATTTCACCGCTGTGTCCTATTTGTCACATGTGATGTGATCACATGAAACATCCTGTTCAGTGTCTTGAACCACTGTGTAAAAATCAAGCTGTTCTTGCAGATTTTGAACGATGCTAAAGCTACCAGACAGGCTCTGAACGAGATCGAGTCACGGCATGATGAGATCATCAAGCTAGAGAAAAGCATTAAAGAGCTACATGACATGTTTCAGTACCTTGCAATGGAGGTTGAAGCACAGGTGAGGTGAACACTTGATATATTTAGTACATTCCTCAGATGTCTAGGACATTAAAAACCACAATGTTGTTCTATAATTAGGGTTGGGTATCGTTTGAATTTTATCGATTCCGATTCTGCTTATCGATTCCGATTCTTACTGATTCCTAGTTTCGATTCCAATAAGATAAAAAATCCAATATAAAAAAAATTAAGTCAAACATTTAGATGTCAAACATTTATTCTGTCTTTTTACAAAGCATTCTGTTGCAGCTGAATAACACGAGCAAAAATCAGCAGCTTACAGAACACTGCAAGAGGAATTTTGCCTATGCTTTAAAAGATTAATATAAATTTCAAATATAAAAGTGTTCAAGACAAGTAAACATTCAGTAATAAGATAGGAACAAACAAATCAATTAGCAATATCATAAATAAATACAACTGAACAAAATTTCAGGTACAGAAACTGTAATTAAACGTTTAAAAACACGGCATCGTTTTCTTTTCATAAATAAAATCTAGATTAATCAATGAAAGTTATTAAATATATTCAGTCAAGATCAGTGAATGATTTTCTTTTGTTCTTTGATTAACATTAATGGCAGCCAGTGCGTTTATTAGACTGCTGTCTCTTTAACACCGAACGCACGCAGATCTAAAAATACTGTACATGTGTGTTTTCTTTCTCATCTGTTTACGTTCACGTAAGACAAAAACGGCTGTGTTTATGATGATATACTGATGCAGTTTTCTGCATATTGGTTGACAAATATGAAAGAAGTCAGTTTCGGCCCGGAACAACCTTTTCTACAGTGGAAATACACGGAACGGTTCGAGAATGGACACAAACCGGGAAACCGTACCGCGACCTCTGTTCTCTGTGCTCGCGCTTGTGCGTCGTGTACGCTGCACGTAAACAGGGCGTAAGTTCTTTCCGTTCCTGCACTTAAATTCGTTTTTAATCACATTAAAATGCGAACGCAGGAATCGTTAAGCAGAATCGAAATGCACGCGTCTTATCGAATACCCGGTTCTTGGAAATTTGGAACCGGTTCTAAAATGGAACCGGTTTTCGATACCCAACCCTAGTCTGGAGGTGGTAGGATGAAGTTGAGATACAGAGGAGAAGTTTAGATACGTCCGCCTCTTTAAGGACAGAGAAGAAGAAGAGAAGGTTGTTAGCTGTGGATGTGGTTGATCTGAGTTCTTGGCTGTGTGAAGCTGAAATCTTGACATTTTGATGTACTTGTACCATTTTCTCTCAAATCAAAGCGACAAGTACCTGCTGGCCTGGAGGAGAGAGGGCAGATATTGTCTATACAGGATGTTAATGTGGAGCATAAAGTGTCTGTGGCAGTATTCACATATATTGATGAGAACTGGGTGGGAGAGGGAAACAAGGATGATACTACAGAGGAGAGGTGAGAGGGAGAAAGGGAACAGGTTTCGTCTGAACGAAACTGGCGGAGCGGTTGGTGGAGCACAAGAAGAAGCAAAGATTATGAATGTAGCACTTGAGTGGCATGGATTACCTTTGTTTTGTTTGGGTTTGATGCTCATGGTTCTTGTCATTTCAGAGCTTGACGGACCCAGTCTCCCTTCACTTTCAGTATATGGAAGAGCAGCCAGCATATTCTTCAAAAATCCTCCTTTTGTGTCCTGTGGGTTGTGTCCTACGGGTTTGGAGCAATATAGCAGAATATTCTTTTGTGTGAGAAAATCTCCCGAATATTCTTCAGTAGAGAAAATTTCCAAGTCATTTTTCTAAAGTGAAAACCCCACTTGCTCCTCACATTATATAAGGTCTCTAATCGTTTGTTTCCAGCTGTAAAAGGGGAATTCAGGAGTGAGCCGTCTACCCTCATGACCATTTGTTTTCCACTAGCTTTTCCACTCTTTAAATTGCTGCCATGTCTACAAGATTCCAAATAAATGCTCTGTGGCCTATAATGTGAGCCAGTGTGCTGATGGGTGGCATCTTACACAAGGTGAAAATTAAAATCAGGACTGACTACCTCTTTGTTTTAGAAATGAATTGAAACCACAAACTAGAATTAGCCTTGGATCACTACCAGTGTCTAGTACAGTTGATTATTTCTATGAAATGACTGTCTGAAAAGAAAATGCTAGTGGAATATAGTCAGAGAACGGTCGTGTTGGTCAGCTGTGTAATACGAGAAGACACTTGGATACACCGAAACATACAATGGAGTCCAAAGGTGAGAAAACACTGGGCATTTTAAAGCAAGACATCCATGCTTTAAGATTGAATTTCAACATTCATAAGTTTAACGATTAATAATAATGATGTAAAATGAACATAACTTAAGAACATCTCATGCTGGATATCATGAATCATCAGGTTTTGTTCATGCCAACTCTAGTGCTGCTGTCATTAAAGCAAAAGAGAGACACTAAATAGTAAGACATTCAGAAATTAATGTACTTTTTTTCAGTTTGATTGGTTGTAATTAAAATTCACATTTTCAAGAATGAAGCCATTTCACCAGCGTTTTCAGACTTTTAGACCCCACTGCATTTTTCCCCCAA